CTGTTTTCCTGTTAAGCCAGGAGGTAGTAGTTGAGATTTGTTCAGGGGGAGGGTTGGGGGAGTGGAATAGCTCCTATGTGCAGCACCCAGGGAGAAATTGGGTGCCTTCTTTTTAAAGGAAACCCCCTTTTTAATGGAGAGGGCAGCCAGCGCGGCGGCAGCAGGCTCTTGAGCTGCGGAGATAAAGCAGTATTGTGTGTCCAGGGCCCTGCTTAGTATTCAGAGAGCTGGGACACCTCCAGCTCGCTCGCCTATTGGACAGGCCAGGGGCATTGTGGTCGCAGCTTGTAGAATATCTTCCGAGGGGGGTGGGGGGCCCTGCTCTTTTAACACCAAGGACCCCCCACCCCCCTTAACTTGGGACCCCAGGAGGTTCTGATTGGGTGTGGGGGGGGTTTCGCGGGGGTCTCACTTGATAGCGCCCGTCTCACGCCATGGGCTCCAGCAGGAATGAATACCGTTACTCAGGCCGGCTTTGTCAGCCCAGAGCCCCCCTTTGTGCCGTCCCCTTCGATGTACGGGATGACGTCGCTCGCTTACCTCAGCCGGGGTCTGTTCGCTCATCTGGGCCAGCGTCCGTGTCGCAGATCCCCCGCGGTCCTGTGGCCAGGAAGTGTCTCCGGGCCCCTTTTCCGTTCGGATTCCCCTTGCTTCCTGGCGGCTCGCGAGACGAACGTGGAAGCTCGAAAGGACTGTGTGTGCGGTCCTTTGGTGCCGGAACTGGGAGAGACTCTTCGGCACGGCTGCTGTACTGACTCCCCCGCCTCCTGTACCCCCCAGGCTTCAAGGGCACCCTGTGCGACGTCAACGTGGACGACTGCAGGCCGGACCCCTGCCACCACGGCACCTGCGTGGACGGCATCGCCAGCTACACCTGCCTGTGCGAGCCGGGCTACGTGGGATACCGCTGCGAGAACCAGGTCAACGAGTGCCACAGCAGCCCCTGCCAGCACGGGGGCAAGTGCGTGGATGTGGTGAACGGGTACCTGTGCCACTGCCAGCCTGGCACGTCCGGTGAGTGCACACAGCCCGCCTTCCTGCCTGCCCTCTCCTCTCTGCCCCTCTGCTGCCTGCCTGCCCTCACCTCTCTGCTGCCTGCC